TCCATGCTGGCATGTGGGTCACCGAGACCTCCATGCTGGCATGTGGGTCACCGAGACCTGACACTTGTTTGCTCACATTTAAAGTTGTGTAAACAATAACAAAACTTAATCTAAAAAGGCAGCTATTTGACATTTCTATTGCATAACCATGTTCAAAAATAAATCCACATTACAGCAAATACTTCAGCAGTGTATGAAAAGCTTGGGGGGGACTGATTGTTGTTTGACCCATTTAAGCTAAAAAAAAAACAACTGATGACCGCATTTCGTCTCCCACATGTCCAGCTGAGTTGAGAGAGGATCACCGGTTCATGAGGGCCCTCAGGGAGCACCACAGGACCCGCTCCCCGCCGCCTCCTGCGCTGCAGTACGGGTGGAAGAAAGCCAGCGCCGGGCCGCCCCCCTGAGCCTGGCGGCTCTTCCGGCGCCCCTGCAGCCACACGCGGAGCCCCAGCACGACCAAGAGCAGAACCAGAGTCAGGAACAGGCTGAGGTAGACGCAGGGCATCACCAGGGACCACAGCAGTCTGCGGGGGGACAGACAGGGACTTCACTGCAGCTCACTGAAACCTGTTCTTCCAGCTAGCTTAGGCTAAGTTAGCAGCCCGTCCTCTCGCTTTGACAACAACTCTTCTTTTAATTTATTTCCGTACAACTCTTTAATTCTATACAACTTTATCACTTTAGTTCAACAAATGGGAGACTATTTACCTCATTAAATCACAGAAACACAGAGAGAAGTGATGGTAGTGATGTTCGTGTCCAGCCATTTTGACAACACAACTCCAGACGTTACAACAAATAAGTTCCGGTCAGGTGACCAAGGAGCTGGTTTCTGATTGGTTCAGCGTTTGTTTATCTTTTCATCATCGGCATGTGACTGTTTCCTTCAGTTTTCAAAAGTGCAGCTAATGCAGATAGATAGATAGATAGATAGATAGATAGATAGATAGATAGATAGATAGATAGTGTTGGATTTCATGTTTTATCTTTTATTATTATTTTAATCAAGCTTGAAATTTCATGTTATAAAATGAGTGTGTCATTCTTTGAAGGGTTTTTTATTACCCTACAATCATTTAAGTATTAATCAGTTACTTTGCTTAAATAGAATATTAACTTCAGGTAGTTTGTTTAAATATAATCCTACATTAACTAGAGAAAATCTTCAGCTAATTCACATTCGTATAAGTTCTCACTCACACACACATACGCTCTCACACACACAGGGACTGACACGCACACACATAGGATGGGAGACGTTAAGAGTCTCTGAACACATTTCTCTACTTTAAACTCAATGTAGTTTGCTTAAACTTAATATAGCTGACTAAACATAATTAGTAAAGATAATAGAAAGTAGCATTTAATCGTTTAACAAGTGTGATCAGCTCAGGGTAAAATCTTCAGCTAAAAACACCTGCTAACAAAGGGCCATAAACTTTATCTTTCGGTATGTGACCTCCAAGACTTATCTGCCAGGCAGAAGAGCCCCGTAACCATGACAACGGGGTGTTTAGACCAATCAGAAGCCGAGGCTGCAGAAAATCTAGGATAAGGAAAAGAGTCACAGCAGAGGTCGTTGCATTTTGCTGGAAGATTGGCGCTGATGCAGGTCTGTCTGAGAAATGCCCTTTTGTATGCGTACAAATGTATTTGTTTTTGATCTTCTGAATACTTGTAATCCGTTGTCAAATAAATCTTTTGAACTAAGGTACCGCTTCAGCTGTATTGAACGCCAATGTGGTTCTTATAAGCCACGACAACGTCGATGTTTAACAACCCCTTAAAACAGGCTGCACCAAAATGCTGGAAATATCATCTACTTTATTCAAAAGCTCCCCCCACTACACACACACCCCCCCCACCCCCACTGCCCCCGAGTTAAATCAGGTCCTGAGGTACGTCCAACTGGTTTATCCACGATGTTAGGTGCTATTTATAAGACTGAGTTTGTTGTGGCTTCTCAGACTGATGATGTCCTCTGAATGAAAGATGGAATGTTTCAACAAAAATAATCCATTCAGAGGACCTGACAACGTTGTTGGATTTATTACCTGGATTATGTTTAATAGTTTGACGAGGTCTAGTCTGAGCTTTTTGCGTTCAGTGTTGTGAAAGTTAAGGCAAGATACAGACGACTTTCTTTCAGGGTTATATTGTTGCTGTGCTTACTGCCACCTTCAAAACCCCACATCCTGCGGGACAGAAGTTCTGACTGCTCCTCTGAACCAGTTACCTCTGGAGCTTCTGTTCCTCAAACCTTCAAGTTTTCTTACAGCCTTGGTTTGTTGTTTTCAGGGAGGTCCGTGACAGTCAAGGCAAATAAAGTTGCTAATGTTTGCTGTGTAGGACTAAATTCCTTTGGATTTAATTGTTCTTTAGCTTGAACACGTACAAAACGTGTGCGATGGGAAGTGAATTAATAAGTACTGGTTTGTTCCTTTATTTAGTAAAATAATGTTTTTGCTTCGAGCCATAATAACGTGTTCCAGATTATAATTTTTTTTTTTAAACATTTGTTGACAATATTTCAGGTATTGTATTGTTTTTAATCTTGTGGCAGTATTTTCTTGTTTCCAGTTCATCCTGGCGTCTTTATCCACCACTGAACACCGTGTCAACCACACGTCTGTTTTAACTCCAGTCCAGTTTCAAGTTTCATATAATTATCTACATGTCCTGTTTTAAACTTGGTCGTTGAAAATATTAGTTCAAACTAAATTTGAATTAGAATTGTTTGTATTGATTTCAAGACTTAAGATAATGAAACTTTTTTTATTACATTCTTCTTCTTTACATAAATGAAGGAAACTAATTGTGCACTCTTGACTGTAATTGTCACGGCTGTGTTCTGATTTCTTCAGAGAATGTGGACCCTGGGAGTGTCTCGTAACGTGTCAGGTTCTGGGGGTGTAAAAGATGCAATCAACTGGTTGCATAAGTATGCACACCCCAAAACTCATAATTTAAATTAAACAATTTTGATTTAGTTACAGCCTTCAGTCTGTCTGGGAGCACACCTATAATCAAGGATTTGAGTTCCTTTATTTGTCATTCGCACCTCATGTGGTGGAACGAAATTATGTACACAGGCTCCCAGTTACATCCAACAAAAGTATAAAATGTAAAATAGAAACAATAAAAAGATCTAAGATATGAACTAAAAAAAGTTAAACTAAAAATACACTAAGCACTAGTAGTGAAACAGCAGCAACATGAAACAGATCAGCAGTAACATGAAACAGATCAGCAGCAACATAAAACAGATCAGCAGCAACATGAAACAGATCAGCAGCAACATGATGTGATTTTTTTCACAGTGATTATTCTAGTTAGAGATTCATGAGTCTAAGCCTCAGGGTAGAAGCTGTTCCTCAGTCTAGTGGCTCTACACTTAATGCTCCTTAACCTCCTTCCTGAGGGGAGCGGGGCCAAAAGTGTGTGTGCTGGGTGAGTGGGGTCCTTCATGATGCAGGTGGTCCTCTTCCTGCATCTGGAGGTGTAGATGTCTGTGATGGTGGGGAGACTGACTCCAACATCTTCTGTGCAGCCTTCACCACTCTCTGCAAAGCTTTTCTTTCTGCAGCTGTGCAGCCTCCATGCCACACGTTGATGCTGGAGCACAGGATGCTCTCCACTGCACACCTGTAGAAGGAGGTGAGAACTGAGCTTCCCAGACCAGCTCATCTCAGCCGCCTGAGGAAGTAGAGTCTCTGATGAGCTTTCTTGATCAGGCTGGTGGTGTTGTTGCTCCAGCTGAGGTTGTTGTTCATGTGAACACCCAAGTACTTGTAGCTGGAGACCACTTCCACCACAGATCCTCCTATGTTCAAATATTTGTTCTGGTGTCTACTCATGGTGCACAGAGCGCTTGTGAAACATAAAAACGATCTTAACGGGAAAACTCTCCTCGGCCTGGGGTACAGTGAAAACTGTCATCAGGAAGTGTGTGAGCTAAGTGACCAAAAAGACCAGATGGGAGCAGGTCAGGGAGGCTGCCGAGACCTACAGCGACACCGAAGGAGCTGCAGGAGCTCTGACAGGTTCTGCTTGTGTTCTACGTGTTGGAACTTTTTCCAGTCTTCTAAAACCTTAAGTTGATTTTTTGGCCACAGTTTTAAACTACAGGTCCTTCTAAAAAAATTAGCATATTATCATGATCTGACTGTTGCGTGTTCGAACCCACGTGCAGGAAGGGAATGAGGCTCCAGTAAATAAGTAAAATA